GCCCAGTTCTTTGCTGCAAGCTCTAATGGCGGCCACGGGCATCTCGGGCGGAGGGTCTGGCTCTCCGTCCAGTGCCGTGGGCCCCTCGCAGCAGGTGCCGTCCACCCGAGCCGACCAGCTCGTGCACGTGAGAGGAGGCTCGAGGGCGGCCTCCACCGCAGGACGGGAGCGAAGACGGCCGCGTGGCTTCCCTTCCCCCCCGTCGCCGTCGTCGCCCGACCGCGTGGAGGGAGGAGGGAGGATGGAGAGGGAGGAGGGAGGAGGAGGAGGAGGGATGGAGAGGAGGAGGAGGAAGGAGGAGGAGAGGAGGAAGCGGGGGAGGGAGGAGGAGGCGGAGGAGGAGGAGAAGGAGGAGGAGGAGGAGGAGGAGGAGGGGAGGAGGAGGGAGGAGGGGGAGGAGGAGGAGGAGGAGGAGGGAAAGGAAGGCGGCCGCGTGGCTTTCCTCCCCCCCGCCCCCGCCCCGCCGCGCGCAGACGTCCACCGTGTCAGGCGTGGCGAGCGCGGAGGGCAGCGAGGCGGGGCACGCACACACGGCCGACGGGAGGGCCCATCGGCGGGGGGACGGCCTGCGGTCGCAGGCCGTGCCCCCCCCCCCCTTGCTCGGGCAGGACCCCGAGGGTCGCCACTGGCTTCCAAGGAGCGCGGTGGTCTCGCCCCCCTCCCTCCTCCACAGCACTCTCCCCCCCTGTCCATCCCTCACTCCTCTCTTCCCTCCATCTCCCTCCTGCCAGATGCCGCCTCTCCCCTCCTGTTCCTACTCCTTCCCCCTCCCCCCTATGGGGGAGAGGGGGAAGGAGTGGGAAGACGTGGGCAGGAGGGGAGGGGGCAGTCCCCCCTCCCCCCTCCCGCACTGGGCAGAGCGAGGCGGTGCACTGGGCGGCCGTCGCCAAACGCGGGGGGGGCCCTTCACCGATGCCCGCCGAGCGCGGCGCCGTGAAGCGGAAGTCCCGGGCCGACGACCCGCCGGGCTGCCGCTCCTCCCGTCGCCGTCGCAATCGGCGTCGCCAACGTCCGCGAGGAAGTCGGCGTCGGCGTCGGCGTCGGCGGCGGCGTCGTCAGCATTTGCGTCGTCGGTGGGTCTTGATGTCGTTGGCGGCGGCGGCGTTGGCGTCGATGTCGGCGGCAGCGGCCGACGAGGGGGGAGGAGGGAGGAGGAGCGAGAGGGAGAAGGGGGACAAGGACCCGAGAAAACCCAAGATGCATCAGCGAGACGTTTCCCTCACACGTCTCTGGAAGTGCCCCCTTGAAAGGAAGAGCGCCCCATGAGCATGCGATTCGAGACCTCCGTTTCGAAAAGAGGCCGCCCCCCATCCCCTCGAATTAGAAAGGAAACACAGGATCAGCAGGAAACTCTGTTTGAATAAATGATACCGGAGAAACACCCCCATCCTAATCTTTTTAGGGCTACAGGGCTATGGTGCTATGGGGCTGCATGGCTATATGACGATAGGGCTATAGGGCCATAGGGCTAAAGGTCTATGGGGCTATAGGCATATAGGGCTATAAGGCTATAGGGCTATAGAGCTATAGGGCTATAGGGCTATAGAGCTATAGGGCTATAGGGCTAAAGGGCTACAGGGCTATAGGGCGATTGGGCTATAGGGCTATAGGGCTATAGGGCTATAGGGCTATAGGGCTAAAGGGCTACAGGGCTATAAGGATATGTCGGGCTATTGGGCTATAGGGCAATGGGGCTATAGGGCTATCGGGTTATAGGACTACAGTGCTATAAGGCATCCAGGCGTTCCGCCGAAATCGGCGCCTCACCAGGACCCCAACAGAGGCAAGCTTTGATTGGGAAACATGTTCGTGAAAAGGTGGTGGATGTCTATACCTATGGCCAAAAAGTCTAGAGAGGTCCTGAGCGGTACCACAACCAGGGGCCGCCTTCCAGCCGTATACCCGTTGCACAATGCGGAGTCTTTGGGCATAATTGTCATAAAGTCTGAAACGATAGCCTGAAATTGAGAATTATCCCGGCAAAGCAACCTAACAGCCATGTGTAGGAGCCGGCCGGGGCAGCCGGCCGCCCTCCCCTCCTGCTCGTCCTCCTCCTCCTCCTCCTCCTGCTCGTCCTCGTGCTCCTCCTGCTCGTCCTCTTTCTCCTGCTCCTCCTCCTCCTCCTCCTCCTCCTCCTCCTCCTCC